TTTATATGAAATTAAAAAAAAGCTCTTCATTTTTTTATTGTCCTATGGTTCAAATATATATATCCTTAATTTGAAACATGTAACATATTTCCTTCAGAAGTTATAAGAGTTTGAGTTTTACATTTTTTTCACCATTGGAAAATTTGAAAAATGATCGCCATTAAAAAATCCTTAATAATGAAAATTAATATATGGCTTCATATATGTTGTAACACATATGATATTGGACCCCCCAATAATTTATGGTTTTTTTGATCATATGGTTTTTGCTTATGGATGAATAATTAACAAAATAAAACACAATTTTGTGATTCAAATTTTCTTAAAAGATTGATAATGAGCACCCATCAATTAAACAAATCGAAGATATAATGATTGATAAATGTATTTTTGCAAAGAAAATAGTAAAGTAAGGGAAATTGTTGGAGGAAGAAATAATCTTATTAAAGGTTCACAAGATGAAATTGATGATATTACATTAAGTGAAAATGAATTAATGCATTCACTACAATCAGAAAACCAAATATTGAGTCAACAATATATACATGTTAATAAAGAAGCTGATGCATCCCAAGAAAAATTTCACACCAAGTCATTTAAGGTAGTTATGATGGTTGTGGTGATTATGATGATGATTTTACTATATGGTTAATGTTGTTAAAAGACAAATGCTCTCAAAGATGAATTATAGATGACAAAAATTAAAAATAAAGAAAAAATAGAGAGATTGGAATCAACTGAGGAACAATTAGGACAAGCAGAGAAACATATGGATATATCAAAAAGCATTGCTCATAAATATTGGTCTGGTGTTAAGTCTCAAACTTTACAAGGATCACAATCTAGTGAAAATAATGTTCATGAATCTTTTTTTCTCAGTATTTACTTTTTTTTTATAGAAGAAAGTAAATTCATTTTCAATTGCTTTCTGAGTCTTGTTTAAAATAATTAAAAGAAATGTTAAAGAAAAGGCTAATTTAAAAATAGAGATTAATAAACTTTGTGAGCAAGTATAGTGATGTTAGCCAGCTAAGAACTTAAATAAATCCCAGTTGACAAAAAAACTTTTCAGATGGTACTAAGCTTGCTGGTATTATTATTACTTACTACTACTATCATTATTATTATTACCATGATTATTATTACTATTATTTACTATTGTTATTATAATATCTCGCCTTTAAGGGTAAAGGGAATCATGTGACATTACCTGAAATTTTTATATGTTCTGCGGATCTTCCCATTGGCTGATCTGAATTTTTCATATGACCTACGTAACACAATTTACACGTGATTCTCCCTACCATTAATGGTTCGAATAAGGTTTATTCGAATTATTTGTTTTATTCGTCATGAATTTGAGTATTCGGATTACATTGAACGTTTATTCAAATAAACGGATAATTCGAATAGAACGAATAACAATAATTCGAATTAAAATAAGAATTTGTATTACTATTACTCCAACTATGACTTTTACCCTACTATGATGTATTGTATTTTGTTTTTTAAGTTCCCAGACGTAAAAATGAATGTTAAGAGAAATTTTTTTTAAGCCGCTTAAAAATTCCTTACTATTACAGAGGTAATCAGCGGAACCACGCGTGTAACATTCGTGTCGAACCAAGTGATATTGAAAAATCACGTGACTTGTTAAATGCCCAGAGTTTTGGAAAGGTAATCTTGCCAGAAAATCTTTCTATTTTATTATTATATTTTATTATTAAAAATTTTTATATAATTCATAATTTATTATAACATAAAAATGAGACCATTGCAAAGAACAATTGCAGTATTAGGAGATACTGCCGTGGGAAAGTCTTCATTGACAATCCAATTCGTAGAAAATCATTTTGTTGACTCTTATTATCCAACAATTGAGAATACTTTCAACAAAGTCATAAGATATCATGGACAGGAAATAGCAGCAGAAATTATTGATACTGCTGGTCAAGTAACTATTTTTTTATAATAATAATATAATAATAATAGCAATAGTAATGGTGATAAAGAAAGAAATCAATAAAATTTATTTCTCATATCATAACAAATAATAATTTTAATGATAATTGTAGGAAGAACATTCACTTTTCAATCCAACTTATGGAGTAGGAACTGATGGTTATATTTTAGTGTATTCGATAACTTCTAAAAAAAGTTTCGAGTTGGTGAGAACTATTAGAGATAAAATCTTGAATCACACAGGAAAAGAATCTGTTCCAATTGTACTTGTAGGAAATAAAACTGATTTACACATGCAAAGGTTATTATTATTATTTATTATTATTATTATTTATTATTATTATTATTTATTATTATTAATTATTTATTATTATTATTATTTATTATTATTATATTATTATGTTATTATTATTGTGCTAATATGATGGTTCTCTCTCACTCATATATATATTATATCTTTTTTAGAAAATTGACACCAGAAGAAGGTAAAGAATTATCTATTCAATGGAATTGTGCATGGACAGAAGCATCCGCTAAGCATAATGAGAATATAAGTATGTATTTTAACCATTTTGATGTTTGAATTTTATGGCAAATTAAATTTTTGAATTATTCTAAATTTTAATCTTTTTTGGTAAAAAGCTCGTATTTTTGAATTAATGATAGGGGAAATAGAAAAATTAAATTATCCAAATGGTGAAGAACATAGTTCATGTACAATTTTTTAATTAATTAATTTTAAAATTGTTTATTTATTATTTTCGAATATTTAGAAATATTTTTAAATAGATTATTATTTTCAAACTTATATTTTGTATAATAATGAATTTTTTTACCAACATAGAAAATAAACATTTGATGTCATTATTCATCTTTTCTTTTTCTCTAATCATTTGAGATTGGCTGACCACCCAAATACTTCATTGAATTCAATTGCTGTCTTCAAGACTACAAGAAAATCTTGATAAAATAATTTATAGTTGATTCTTGCAAGTAAAAAACTATAAGTGATGATGATGATATATTTAAATGTCTTTGTAATCCATGGACTTTAGCATGATTTTCAATTTTTCACAGTTGTAACAACTTTTTTTGTTAAAATCCATTTTTGTTTTTCATTGAGGCATTCATTTTATTATTGTTGTGGACTCTTGATATAAGACC